AGACAGAATTTTTCTCTACTCACTGGTGATAAATGTAGCTAAAGAGAAATATGCAGTCACTTACTTGAAACATACTGGACATAGTCACAACAAACTAAAACACTTGGTTGTAGGAATTGATGAGCTTAAAAGTTTGGGAAAGTATAATGTGTAGAGGTGTATTTTACCGAATTTTCAGGGTAATGGATAATTTTAAATTAATACTACTTCTTAATGAATTTCTCTCATACTGCTTTGAATCCTGCTAAGTACTGCACATGCATTGACATAAACTCTTATTACACAGTTAGGTTTAAGGAATGAACTTTGGACGGCATATTATTCTTCAATGCTAAAAGTCCCTAATTTCTGTGTATTTTTTGAATGACTAGATATAATTATGAAGGAATTGTGGAAATTAGTTGACATCTTCATGATTAAATTCAAGATTGTTGTGCTTTTAGGGGGCAAATTAATACTATTAACTTAATATTTCTAACACAGTTTAATATTAATTGTAATTTTGAATGTCACTGCCTTTTAAAGTGAGTTTTATTTTGAAGATTTTTTATTATATTCTAATATATGTATAAGAATAGAGAATTGGTTTGTAGGTGGATACTTGCTGCATAAGAATGAAATCTACTAGAAGTGAGTCAGCTTCAAAAATAAACTCTTAAAATATTACTTTTTAATAGCAAAAATATGCTCTAGTTAAATTCACAAAGTGCATATTTTATCCTTTATCATTAACATATTTTACAATTTAGATGAAGAAACTGGTGATGTATATCTGTTCATTTATTCAAAGAGCCTAAAAAAGTGAGAGATCATTTATGATACATGAAAAGGAAAAATCTGAGTCTTTCAAAGTTCATTTACAATTTAAAAAAAAACACTAAAGTGGTTAAAGACTTTAAATCAAAGGTGCATTTACTTGTATACTCTTTGAAAAATCAGCATGTACCAGCTTATTTTCCACATCAAGGGTTTCTTTGTGTGTGTGGAGTGTACTTGGTATTCAGTCCCCTGCATTTTGACATAATCATTTTTACTTTGTACTATTGTGGATATTACCATTTAGCCTAATATAGAAAAATTACAACTCTTGTGGTTTTATGTTCATAAATTATGAAAGTATGAGATAAACATCTTCATTCCATTGGAGGTCCTCATGTTAGTCTTCATTACATGCCGATTATAAAAGGTCAAGATAGAAGGATATTTGTGATTAAAGTTGGAGTGGAGGGTTAAAATGGGTCAAAAGTAATGTAAAAGGTAGACTGTATCTCAGCAATAGGCTGAAAGAAAGGGTGAAAAGAGCAAATGGGAAGGGTGAATAAAGCTGACAGTGTAAGCATGGAATTGGATAGGGCAAGGAAGAAGAGGAGAAAGGAAGATATGGCACAAAAAACACACTCAGAATGAGACAAGTATGGGTAAACAGGGATGAAATGGGGAGAGGGTGCAGACAATATGAGAAAAGGTGGGTGGTGGGAGCAGGTAAAGTATGTAGTGGAGTAAGGGTTAGGTTGTGGGATATATACAAGAGGTAAGATTGGCGTAATGGGAATCAAAAACTTTAGAGATGAAACTGCTAAAGTTGAATTATTTAAAAGCTTATCTGTTTGTATAATAAATCATACAATGCCAATTCATTTTCTTAGTTTTTCCTCTCATGTTCTACAAGATTGTTATACCAGTGAGGCTCTCTGCTCTTAAAATGTTTACTGAACAAGGCACATATACTTTATATCCTATTATCTATTAAAAGCACTTTGCTAGATTTTGAATTTTCACTTCTATAATATCCTAAAAGAATAATCAGTAGATGGAAATGTTTCATGCAATTAATGAAGTTGATCCACTATTAAATGGATTTTTGAGAAAATAATTCATACTGTCTATATTGTTTCATTCTTTAAAAATCATTGTATATTCAGTTACTGTTAGACTAAAGATCCAAAGGAATTCCCTAGTTTTGGGGGGGATATTTTTCTAAAGTGACATATTTTAACTTTATAATAGTTCAATTAAAGTCTCAATACATGTATAAAGCTTCAAATCTTTATTTTACTTTCTAATCATAGACAATTTAAAATACTTAAGAATTATCTTTTATGAATGGGTGCAATTTCTTTCTTTTAATGTACAAGTTATGGTAATATATGGATGATTTCTCTACTTGAGATTTTTTTGGACGTATTTTGAATTCAACCAAATGCTTTGAGAAATATTTGCCCAACACTATGTTGACTGGAAACAATGTAGGTAGCTTAAATACTACATTCTTTTTTTTGTGGGGGAAGGGTCACATAGTAATTCTTGCCCTTAATTCCATATCATTAAACATTTGGGAAAGTGGTTTTTTTTTCATTTGGTGAATTTAGTAAGTAAAATTATTTTTTTCTAGTTAATTCTTACATTAACCAAAATCATATGGAATTGTCTGAATGTACATTGGATATTTTAATTGGAAGATGAAAATAATTTTAATATAATCAAGGATTTGTATGTGGAAAATCTTCAAAGTTAGAATTTGTATCTTTTTTCCACTGGACAGGAAAAGAAAATAGAAGCAAAGAACCTAGCTAATCATGGTGGTTAAGTAATGAAACATCTATTGTTTTATAACTATTCTTTCTTGCACAGTACAATATGCAGGAAATTTTCAGTTCTCCTACCTTATCCAATTTATTAATTTTGTTATTATTTTTTATTTTTCAGGGGATATGTTAAATTTTATAGATAATACATATATGTAATTGTAATCTATTTTGTGTTTAATAAGAACAAGAAAGTTGGAAATGGTTTATTATCTTTGTTCACCACTATGCCCTCAGATTTGCAAACTCACATTATTTTAATTAAAAAATCTCAGATCCAATTTATATGAATTTTGTAATTATTTTTCCTTGTTGGACATAATGCATGCTGTTTACTGTTTCTTTTGTAGAATTATGATTCTACAAATAACTTTACAAGATTATAAATCATCTTCTTAGACCATCTTTCTATTTGAATTTTTTGCCTAACAATTTCCTTTAATTTCTTAAATTTTTACAAGAATCAATTGCCTATTTTACAGATTTTTATATTTAAAATTTAAGCCACTGAACACAATACCCCAAATTATATGGATTTTAAAGCATGAGAAATGACACTCACAAAGCAGAGTTTTGCCATTGTTGTTGACAATGTTGGTGCTTTAGTGACTCTCTTCAATTATATATATCAGTGTTGTATATAATTGAACCAAATTTTGCGTTCTGTCTTTCTTTTCACTTGCTTTTGGTAAATATTAGTTCCTAGTAAGTTATCTCTCAGGTTCTACCTTACTTAACTATGTTTTCATTCACAAGGTGGTTCACAATGCAGTAGTTCTATTTCAAAGTCAGAATGACAGTAGAGAATATAGAATATACTATCTGTAAAACAACATCATTTGTCAGTTTGGTATTTGTTCTCAGTCAGGATTGGCAGTAATTGAAACATGGCAGCTTGTATTCTTCCATTACCTCTGTGGTTTTGCCACCCTATACTAGATTCAGGTAATTCAAGTCTGAAATGATATCCCATCTTCTGGGTTGAAAAGGAGTAGGAGAAAGAAATCTCACTACCTTTCTTTTTTTTCCTCTAGGTCAAAACCCTGGTTCAGTAAGCATATGCTGAAACAGGGAGAGTGAAGAGGGAGGCTAGTCAGCCTCTTTACCTCCTTCCTCAAAGGCTAAATGGATCCTGTTAGGGCAAGAGTTGCCTTTAGATCACAGATTACCACCCCTTGCACTATGTGTTAAGGCACACAATAAGGGGCTTCGTGGAATCCTATTATTTAATTTGCCCTTGGTTTTGTAAAAACAACAGCTACCATTATTCAGGAAAGTGGAAAATTTAAATGTACAAATTGAATTGTGGCCCATATGCCCTGAAACTCAGCACAAATTTTATGTATGACTATAAGGCAATGAGATTATTTCCTTATGTAACTGATGAGTTAATCTCATTAATTTACAGTCATACTTGATCTGTCTTAACGAGTTTGTGAGATAATTGGTCTTGAAAACTACATTTTACAGAAAACTATTCTTATGTAATCTTAATAATGTGCTGATCATCTGGGCCAATAAAAAGTCATCCACTTCTCTCTGAAAAAAGCATCTTAACCAGAAATTTAGTAAAATATTTCAACAATTTCTCCATTTTGTACTGCATCTTTTCATGCCAAACTAATTTAGTGTTGGGAAGAATAAACAAAATTAATGTTAAAAACAAAAATACTTTTTAGCATGCAACATTTTAGGCATCCTGTGGTGCTGTTAGTGTTGTTATCTTACTCATATTATTTACATCACAAGTATGTATGCTATGTACAGTTCTACAGTTATTTGTCTCCTTGTATTTTAAGGCTTCCAGCAAATATTTACAATTTTGCCAGGTACATGTCACAAATATATATATGGTTAAATATTCTTGTTAGTGACCTTTCTTCAGAGGTACTATCTAGACATTTCAGAAAATCTAATGATCTGTCAAATATATTGATTCCTTAGATTTTAGTCAATAAATGTTTTGGGCATTAAGCTGTAACCATCTAGATAAATGTAAATACCTATGCAATCACTTCCATTTGTCCATCAAAATATCCCAAAAGACCTAAAGTTACTGGCAGTTTGAGATGTACAATATTCTTTGAAGGTTTGTTGGCATCTTGGTTAGTGTTAGATTAAAAAAATTCTCATTGCCACATAGAAATCGAAGCTCAAAGAAGTTAGCATATTATTTCTATACAACCCATCCCCTCCAGATCATCACACAGATAACTGATAGTTGCCACACAGAATAAAAGCTCCAAACATTATGATAAAGACTATCACAATAAGCACAATTATATTCATTTCATGTATTCTACATTTTGATGTCCCATTTACTATTTTTGGTAGCTTGTCAGGTTTAGTTTTGATGTTCAGAGTCTTTGATGTTAAGTTTCTTTCACTGTCTGGACTATTGTGGAGTAACAGTTTTTATAATCGGTGCTCACCTATCTTTGAGAGCTCAGAAAGGGCAGAAGATACATTCTGTGCAGAAGTTCCAATATTATGCCCAGGAGTTTGAGCCTTATCCACAGGCCCTCTGAAAGCACTGCCTCTGTGAACTCCCCCATTGCCTCTAAGAATCTGACGATTACCCATGGGGACTCTAGCATTGCTGCGGAGAATTTCAGGATTATGCCTAGGAGCTCCAATACTAACATTACTGGCATTATTCTTGGGAATTCCAACATTGTCCTTGGCAAGTTGAGCAGGATCATTAGGAATTCCAGTGGTGCGCAGCTTTGCAGAATTCTTAAAGCTTGGATCGACAGCAGGATGTCCTCCAGAAGTTGATGGAATGGGCCTTTGCCAAGCTTTTTGAATGTTGTTTCTTTTTTTAACATTTTCTAAATGACAAAATCAAAAGTCATTTTAACTAATTGAAAACAGATCTCAGTTTTGAAAAGAAATTATGAATAAATATGAATGACATATACCTTTTAATTAGAAAATTATTTTAGTATTTGAGTTCAATAGATGAAGAAAAAAATGTTAAAATTCCTGTCACAATGGCCAGAATTGGGGGGGCTAGTGAAAAGAACAGAAGTGAAAAAAAACACCGAGTAACATTATGGTTGGAGGAGGATAAAGAAGATATTAACTAAAGAGAAATTATAGTCATGGCTTAAGGACTTTTAAGAACAAATGTATTTTATCTGTAATTTTATTTATTTTGAAATATGAGTAATAAAGCAATCAAGAATTTGATAGGAAAATCAAATCAGAGAAGTTTAACCATAAAAATGGATTTTACCAGGATTTTACAAACTCTTGAGAATATTCAATGTGAGATGGGCTGAGCCAATTTTGTGAGTGTGTTAAAGGATGGTATAATATGAGCTGACTTTAGGTTCTACTTAATTTTCAGTCTGATAAATGATTTCTTGGAATTTTAAATACATGTAGAAAAATAAACATTATAGAGCTGGTCAAAATTATGATTTCTAGAAATAGTTTGGGCTAGATTTTTGGATTTTTCTCTAAAACTAGTTTCCAGTTCATTGGTGGGGTTATTTCTAAGAGATTCTTCAATAGACTATCCTATTTTAATTTTAGGCAGTGCTGGGTTTCAACCCAGGATCTTGCACTTATTAGCCAGGCACTCTACCACTTGACTATATCTTTAGCTGATATAATTCCAATTGATATTCTTTTGAAATTATGCAGTCAGGCTTCTAATATAAGTTAAAAGAGAAAATTGATTTCAGACTTCTGAAGTAATAAGTCTATTCCTAACATCATGTTTGCATATATGTAGAGAGCTGTAATGATGAAAACAAAATGTTACTCTTCAATTAATAATAAATTTCAACCTACGGCTTTAAAATACATGATAAGATACATTTTAAATACATTATAAATATATAAATATTTTAAGTTCTTCCATTAATATTACCTTTAAGCAGGTATGGCATATAGTATTATTGGTGTGTTTGTCAATTTATACTTTTTAGTCACGCGGGTGCTTACTTATAGGAGGAATTGGAGAAATATTTTGTTCAATCTAGTAGAATCATATCTATTATTCCCTTAAATTTCTAAACTAAACCCTTGTTTTTCAGTTACTGAGTGATGGGTGTATTAGAGGGCAATTATTCTATGAGTGAACTTATCCAACTTAAAGTCAGACTGTGACAATTCCCCTAGAAAAAGCTATTGTTTTATGGAATACAAAGATTCCCCAGTTGTTTGATGATAAATTTACTCATTAAAGTCTATTTGTATGGATATATATATATATAATATATATATATATATATATATATATATATATAAAACATACAAAATGAGTTATAACAAGTACAAAAATCTTACCTGCTGCAAGCAAATTATCATCACTTTGGAAGAAGAAGCGTGTGTCTTTAGAATTTAATTTTAACTCAGATGCATTTGTTTTTTGGCTCCTGCCAATTTTGTATGGGGGCAGGCTGTTACTGCGTTGTCTCTGGAGTTTAGGACGCTGGGGCAGCAATGGGAAAGGCCCTTGCAAGGACTGGAGACGGCTATCTTTGGGTGGGGAGGTTGCTTTATTCGCATTTGGTGATAGTTGGAAGTAGCCATTATCTCGTTCTTCTTCAGTAGGACTAGTTTCGAGAACATGGAGCCCTTCACTGTTCAGTGGTGCATCTAACAGTTCTGCCCAGGAACGCCGAAAGATGGATCTTTCTCTAAGAGGAATCATGCTTCTTGCTACTTCCATATCATCACTTCCTGGGGACTCTGCATTTTCTGGAGATTCCAGCCACAGATTTCGTGGGCTTCTTGGGCGACTGTATTCTGAGGATGGTGAACATTTATTTATTAAAGCCTCCAGGTGTATAAGCCCAGTGAATTTCAAAGTTGGAATTTCTGTATCATCTATCTCCTTTCCAGGCACACCAGCAACAAGTATTGCGGTGCCTTTCCCCCTTTCCTCTGGACTGGCAATTCCTGTAACGTCTAAGCGTTGAGATTCTGGGACCCCTGAAGATTTAACTGGCATTTTCTCTAGGCGAAGAAGCCCTGACGTTTTTGGTCTTATAAGGGCAACACTCTCTAACTCTTTTGTTAGTGGGGGGGTGGTAACCATGACCACCTGACTGATATTCCCCAGGTCCCTCTGATGGATACCTTCTCGAGTGTATGGATGGGCATGTTGGTGGTAGGAGGCCATTGTTGGTTTCTGTTGTTTTTGTTTTCTGATTTTTTCCCGAATTTCCTCGTCAATAGGACGGAAATAAATGAACTCATCAGTAATGTTTTGAGCACGTCTGTATTCGAAGTTTGGATTCACAGAAACAATCTGAAAGAATATTTGAGTTCAAAGAAACAGTTCATTGTATTATATCAACACATTTAAGAGCCTTCTCTTTTTGAACCTTTTAATCTTATATCTAATCAGAATTTGACTAGAGAACAATATGTCTAAGAAAGAATTGCACTGTATAGACATAATCCAAGTTAATTAAGAAATGCAAAAAATTTCCCAGAGTACTACATTTTTCTTTAATGAATGGATGTTTTAGCTTAGTATTTTGTAGTGTGCAAATCACATAAGGTCATCAAAGGATCCACATTTCTCCCCCCAAATTTCTACATGATTCCATGGCAAATAATTTGGAGAAGTACATATAGTTTTCTCTTCATAATGTATAGGAGTTTATCAAAGGCTCTAAGAACCAGGTGCTGGTGGTCATGCCTATAATACTAGCTACTCAGGAGGCTGAGATCTGAGGATCGTGGTGCAAAGCCAGTGGGGGCCGGAAAGACTGTGAGACTCTTATCTCCAAATTACCACAGAAAACTGGAAGTGGTGCTGTGGCTCAAAAGTGGTAGAACACTAGTTTTGAACAAAAAAGCTCAGGTATAGTGCCTAAGCCCTGAGTTCAAGCCCCATAACTGACAAAAGAAAGGGAAAAAAAGGCTCTGAGGACTCTCTTATACATACATGTTTACATACACAAACACACACATGTGCATAATCATATTAACCACGTCATTCATTTTCTACTTTATTTAACATCTAAGATTTTGTTGACCTTGGAGAGATTGCCCCTCCTAGGGATATACAGTTTCTACAGATAATAACTTGCCTAGGAGCACAGCTTTCAAATGAAAACCAGCTAACCATACTTCATGCATTCAACTACTTCACACTCTGGCCTCTGGCTGCTTAAATGGCACCAAGGCCTGAGACCAACTATGGGAACAATTGTGTACCTGTTGGATCTCATTGAAATCATTCAAAGTACCCTGTTTGCCTCATTTCAGTGATTTTGGTGCTACCCAATGTCCTGGTATATTCCCTTCTTTGAAATGTGTAAGCATAATAAACTATTTTAAGTAGCAATCATCTATTGATGTGCTTACTACATATGATGATACGTAAAGAATAAAATTTACATTAAAACATTCATATACAATAATCACTTCTTTGTGTTATGTATTCTAGTGTTTTGTGTGTGTGTGTGTGTGTGTGTGTGTGTGTGTGTGTGTATTCACAGTGTTTTACAACCATTATCTAATTTTGGAAGAATTTCCTCATCCCTAAAAGTAATTCCAGAACATCAGCAAAAATGACAGAATAAAGATCTTTGAAAATTCTCCCTTTTATAAAAACAATGTGAAACTGGCAGAATGGTACAATCAACTTTTTTCAAGGATCTAGAAATGAACCTAATGTTTGTAGCAATTTGAGTAATTTATTCAATGTAAAGTATCTGAAGCTTAGTGAAAACAAGTAACTTTCATTCATGGTGAAAATCAGGGGCATAGAAACCATTAAGAAAGGAGTTGGAGCTCTTTCAAATATTAATTCCCAAGGATTTATAATTAATTGACTTCCCTCACTAGTACTTAACTACTATTTGCCTCAGTAGTTTGCCTCTTTTGTGGAATCACACAATATGTGTCCTTTTGTGTCTGCCATAGCATAATCTTTTCAAGGTTCATCCATTTAATTTCATGTATTGAAACTTAATTACATTTTATAGTCAAATAATATTCCAGTGTTTGGATATATCACATTTTGTTTATCCAGTCATTAGTTGATAGATATTTATGTTATTATCACCATTTTACTTTAGAACTAATGATACTTGGAACATTCATTTCAAAGTCTTTGCTTGGACAGAATGTGCACATTCTCTGGGGGTATGTACCTCAGGATAACTCTAATTTAGCTAGACAATTTCTCAAAGTAGCTGCATCATTTTATATTCCTGCAAGTCTAGAATTATGTTTCATTTAGTTTTTCCAAAGTGTACTTTAAAATATAGCAATTTTAGAATCACTTTGTGAAAATATCTTGGGGGAAAGTCTCTTAATCAAATGACATAGATCTTGCATTGCCATACCCAAAATAATAAAACTATAAGACTTCTGAATGGACAATTTTCCTCCTAAAAACATTTACCAGGAAAAGGCAAAAAAAAGTTGCAAGATTTTGAGAGACACTGAACTGAGTTGATAATACAGCCTGTAATGCAAAATATTACCATGAAAAATAATAGATTTCAGAATTTAATGATAGCAATACTTACTGACTGTTTTTAATTTTACCATAGGTTTTTCAGAGCTCATCATTTTATACTCTTTAAAAATATGGAGGAAATAAAAATAAATGAATCTGAAGCTGTAAAAAATTTCTGAAATGATTTAAAAGTTATAATTTAATTATGAATAATTTATTTCTTGAAATTATAATTCTTCACCCTATCTTATGTTATTACCATTTTATCAGTGTTCCAAGAGGAAAATCTGCCTGTCTTAAATGCTCATCTGTCATACCAGTATTGACCATACCATCTACTGTAGTAAAATGAAGAGGTGACCATTATCTCCTTTTTTTTTGCTATTTTTTCTTTATGGATCCTATTATCCCATTTTCTAGAAGGGGTATTTATTTTCATATTAAAGAAACATTATACAGAAACTGAATTGTGACATAAATGCACTTAAAATTGCTGAATAGATGTGTGTGTGTGTGTGTGTGTGTGTGTGTGTGTGTGTGTGTGTGTGTGTATGCTGGAACTGGAACTTGAACTCAGGAGCTTTCACTCTCACTTGGCCTTCTCACAAGGCTGTAGCCTCTACCACTTTAGCCACAGCTCCACTTCTTGAATAGATATTAAAGCAATGTGTTTGGATATTACCGATCAATGTTGAGATTGTGGTAGTGGTAGTACTTACGGTAGTTGCTTCCTGGCAGTGGTTACACCAAAGTATAGGGAAATCTCTCTTTAGAGACAAAACGCAGTTTGCATATATCATAGCACCTATGCGCCTGTATTCTGTAAGAAAAGATAGAGCTGTATGTTTGAACAGTGAACTCAAAGGTTGGCAAATGTTGACAGTCTTAAATGTATGCTATAGTTTAAACAGTGGGAAGATGGTAGATAAAAAGTAAAACATTATCATTCTTTTCCTTGTAGCACAGAGCCTACCTTCAATGGCCACTGTAATAAGTAGTCTGAAAATTATAGTTATATAGAAAATTCTAGTGATGCATCTAAGACTTTATTATCACTCATATACAGATAATATTTTTTATTTAAAAATCTATTTTTGTTTCCTAGTGTAAATTTATTGTAGAGATTTCATAATGGTATTTCCACACACGCATGTAATATACTTTGATCATATTCACCCTACTCTTTCTTCAGATATTGCTTTCTGATGTATCCAAACACTGATTTTAAGATGAATGAAATGGAGGCAACTAGAGAAACAGTGGTGACTGGGCCCTATTCTTTTTTTACTCTTCATCATTGAAATGGCCTTTTTTTTGTGCTGGTACTAGGGCTTGAACTCAGATCCTAGGTGCTGTCTTAGCTTTTTCACTACAGGCTGGTGCTTTACCATTTGAGCTACAGTTCTATCTCAGACTTTTGTTTCATAATTGGAGATAGGAGTCTCATGGGCTTTACTACCAGGGTTGGCTTTGAGCCACGATCTCAAATCTCAGACTCCTGAGTAGGTAGAGCTACAGACATGAGTTTCTGGAACCCCACTCCAGAGTCCTTTTTTTTTTTAAAGCAGGTTAATTGGAAATGAGTATCATGGACCTCCCTGTCTGGGTTGGTTCCAAATGTTGATCTTCAAATCTGAGTTTCCTGAGTAGTTCAGATTATAAGCATAAGCCACATCCTTCAAGTAATTCCTTTTTAAGAAATATTGTTTATTTATTCATACCCTGTAATTTTGCTCTAAACATGAAATATTTTAATTCTGAAATAAAGTTTTAGTGTGCCCTTTTATCTGTAAATATTCGAATCTATAATTCATTTATACTTGCCAATGAATATGCATATTATAATGTATATTTAATAGTTCTGCATAAACCTTTTTCCCTTTACTTTCTTGATTATGTGAAATAATATTTAAATTGCTGGAAAAATAATGACCATATAACAGTATTTCATTGGTCACTCAATCACTTTATAATAGATTTTTCTATAAGTAGAAGTGATGAAGTGGCATTTATTGATTTTAAGGGTTATCTATAAATTGAGGGGTTATATAAATTAGATTAATCTATCATTTTTGCCCGCTGAGAATATTCACATAGGAAAGTAAATATTTGTATGCAGAATTATATAAAGACATAGAAATAAATGATTCATGACATTTATGATTGTAGAATCAGTGCTAAAAGGACCAGAAAATTGGTAGATGATATTTAAATTATATTTCTGTATTAAATTTTTTCTACTTTTTATTTTTAATCTTTAAGTAGTTGCAAAATTTTTTAATTGAAAAAAGTCATTGGAACATTAGAGCCCTTACCTGCATTAGCAGCTGCATCTCCAAAGGAGGAACCATAAGCCAATTGTAACATCTGACCAACCCAACTGCAAAAATGCAAAGAAAAAGAAAAGGCAGCCTTTAATAACAATTGATATTGAGTCATTGTGATATGCATGATACTTTCTCATTTCACACTCACATAAATAATTAGATATGAACCATTAATATTCCCATTTAACAAAAATCTGAAGTTCAGAGAGAAGAACTAATATATTTGTGTTTAAGCACTAATAATCCAGGTGGCTAGCTCCAGAATCCATAACTTTTGTCATTATGACTGAATTTTTGGTCTCATTAGAGATATATTAAAACTCAAAAGGATAAAGCCTTCATATCAAATGCCAAAGTTTCATAGATAATCACTTGATTTAGGAGGAATATTTAAAGTAATAATACGTTAATAACTAGAATTAAAATAATGAGCATGTTGGGACCAGTATAAAATTATGTAAGAAACCTCTTTAGTAACAAAATGAAAGCTACATTATTGATGATTGTATATTTTATTAGCTTTCCATGTAAAAATATTGCAAAGCTAAATACTAATAAATAATAATTATTTTTGCATATGCACAAACTTTCAAGCTGTACTAGAACTGATTTGATGGTTTCTATAAAGGCAAAACTCATCATATATTTGCTGGTTGTTTAAATCTGTAATTTTAAAAAGTCTACAATCCGTATGTTTACAACAAAACTATAATCCACATTTCAAAATGTGAATTAGGGATGAGTTATAAAATTTAAGTTTACATTTCCCAAAGCAAATTCCAAAGGAAGAAAAATTTCAATTAGAACCTGAAATATTTTTTGAAGTCAAATAGGGAATCAGTGGAATTTACAGGGTAGTTTAAGTAGGAATTTCTCGACTTTTCTTGTTTTGTGCTCCAAGTTCAGACACACTCTGACATTGAAAATGTAATTTTAACATTATTAGTGTGCAAATGAATTATTTTAAATGCACAGAAAAACAGTAGGAAGCTGAGCATGTATTTTCCCTGATGAGCAATTACTATTGTGCTTTTTTCTTGCAATATTATGAAGTTAGAGAAAATTAAAGCTTTAAAAATTACTGTACTTACATTAATATTAGACAAAGTATTTATTAAATGTTGTAACTGTAATGATGGTAATAATCTGCTTATTATACTGATTTGTCTTCCTTGAGTGTACATTTAATGGGGGAATCCACTTTTACCATACATGTTTTCACAAAATTAATTATTACTGTAAAACTGGATTTAGTTAAAACTGCCAGAGTGAAATTCTTCATGGTATTTCTATGTATCTTGTAGCAGCATTTGTCTTGGACTATTAATATTATTTTTATTAATTTTTAATATTTTAAGTTTAAATAATGTAAATTTTCTTCCAGATGTACATTTCTATTTAATAATCTGATTGCCTTGCCATAATGTAAACCAAAACTTATAATACATGCATAACATATTGGAGTTAGGTGCAATAGGATTAGCAGAAGTTCAGTATTATACAAAATACATACTCTTTTAAAAGCAGCTTTATTGGGGGTGTATTTATGTAGCAAACAGCTTTGGAAGACAGAGGTCTCTTGAGGGAAGAGGGGAGATTTGCCTCCTGGCCAGGTTAATAAAGAATGTATCCTTCCGGGACAAAATTTGAAGAGACTTGCCAGCTGCTGTCCCTTCAAAGACTTGGTTAACTCAGCTGTGACAAAAACCTATTCAATTTGTTGCATATATTGGTCTGTACCACATCCCCTTTGGGATTTTGGTGGCAAGAGGCTTTGATATTAGTGAAGCTTATGCAGCTTGTTGTGCTATGTTTAATAAAGGCCTTTGTCTCTTAACAGAGGAATTCTTGTTATTCTGGTAGCTTCCTTCAAAATTGAGTTTGCAGGCTTGCAAACTGCTAAAACCTCAACCCTTAAATGGTTTTGAGGAAACAATGGAAATTAGAACTAGTATGTATATCCGGAGAAGCTCCCATTCCCTGGTGAGAGCAACAACGGACAAACTGATGGGAGTTGAAAAGCTTTGAAACATAGAAACCAAGGAAAATTATGTCACTTGCAACACCTAATCCATTTAATTGGGGACCAATTAAATTAGAACCTCAAAATAGAGGCTATATGTTTACTTAGTTTTGTAATGTAAACCCAACATACAATCCTAGGTACTCAGGAAGATGAGATTTGAGGATTACAGTTCAAAATAAACCCAGGCAGAAAGGTCCAGCCAAAGTGGAGCTATGGCCCAATCGTTAGAGCACCAGCTTGCAGTAGAAAAGCTCAGGAATAATGACCAGGTCCTGAGTCCAAGCCTCAGGATCTACACACAGACACAGACACACACACAAAACCAAGCATTTTGAAACAATTTCTTCAGAATAAAATGGATGATCGACTAGGTTTTCAGTGCACTCCATTTTCTGTATTCAGTCTAGAAATTTTCACACAGCCTTCCCATGTCAGAACAGGTCTACAATCTCAGTCTTGAAGCTAAAGCAGGAAGATCTGTAGTCCAGTCAGCCTGGTATGCATAGTGAGTTTTAGACTATCTCAAACAAACAAAAAACCCAACAGAACCTCACCCCCCTCCCCCAGCCAGGTGCCAGTGGCTCACATTTGTAATCCCTAGGTACTCAGGAGGCTGAGATCCAAGGATCTTGGTAAAGGTAGCCTGGGCAAAAATCCAGAAGTGGAGTTGTGGCTTAAGTGGTATCAACTATAAAGTTCCCTTTTCAATCTATCTGTCTGTCTGTCTGTCTGTCTGTCTGTCTGTCTGTCTGTCTGTCTGTCTGTCTGTCTGTCTGTCTGTCTGTCTGTCTGTCTGTCTGTC